ATTGAGTGCATAATGCTCGCGCAGTTAGGAATAGGACGTCGGTGTTAAATGTTCAGGACAAAGAATCTGCGAAGCTGTTGAAGGAGCTAGGAGCAGAATAGTCCTTCAGTGACCGGATATTGTCTCCTAGAGTTTCAATACCAGCGGAGGATATCTTGTGGCCAAGAAAGTCGATGGATCTTTGGCCAAGTTTGCATTTGTCAGGGTTGACGATGACCCCAGGTTGCGTCAATCGTGTGAAGAGAGCGCCAAGTTGACGAACCTGTTCTTTAGCAGAAGAGCTGGAAATGTGAAATTCATCTGAGTATGGATAAACGCCTTGGAGTCCTCGTGTTACCTCATAACTGGTAGGCTGAAGAGTTTGGACAGCATTGCTGAGGCCAAACGGCATTCGGGGGTACTCGAATAGAATGCTTATTGTAATGACCGCGGTTTTATGAATCTCACCCGACGCTACTTGTATTTGATGATGAGCACGCACTAAGTCTATCTTGCTAAAGACTGCTTTGTGAGCCAGAATTGAGGTCAAGTCGTGCCTATGCTGTAGAAAATATCTATCAGGGACGATGACTTTGTGCCCTGTAGTCACTACAGAGGCACCAGTCACCAAATTTCTTGGGTACCATGTGTAATGGTGATGTCCATGGACTCTTAAACGGGCGAATTATTCCCAATTCGAGTGTTTTTCTCGAATGCGGCCTTAGCCGTTTTGAGTTTGTCCGAAGCTACTCTGCGAAAGTGGGTCGAAACGGTCAGACCCGTAGTGCAGATATGGTGCATGATATTTGACGTCAGGGGAGGGAGGTCGTTCGGAAAGCGAACGAGTTTAGGATGCTTGTTTAAAGAGCTATAAAAGGCTGTGAGGCTTGAGGTAGGGCACGAATGGGAGTGATCGCAGCCACCTTGGCGCTAATCTCGATAACACTGAAATGTGTCCGAGATTCGATCAGTTTCCGCTTTTAGCACCGATGATAAGTTCAAAACTGCTGAAGTAAGTATATGCCTATGACAACAAAAGGCACGGCTGCTTCTATGAAAGCCCAGCAAAAGGTGGTTCACCGGAGGTCTAGATTGAGTATTAGCGGCTTTTCTTCGAAAGTCCTGCTTGGGGTGTCATTTATTGCACATAGTCTGGTCGGCGAAAATGAAACGACCTCATCGGAGCCACGGCGTATGAGGCCAAGTTCTACTCCGGAGTCTACTAGGAACGCGGTACCGGCAGTTAAATCCCTAACGCGGATCAGGAGACTTTGGTTTTGGCCGGTCACGTCCGTCGCCGTTACGTGCCGACTGAGCAATCGCTCTGATTCTCGGCGAAGTTATAAGGCTTAACGCATTTACAGGCTGCGTTTCCAAAACGCCGCTGATATCAACAACAACCTTGCCTGTTGTTAGACTTCGAGCGGTTTGAGGGTGATTTGGATCGGATGTGACTGTGGCGGCTCATAGTGAGCTATTGGATTTGGCGACTAGGTGTCGCAACTTGTACCTGCAGGTCTTCCATCATTAACTGTAAGCCGGTGATAGAAGTGCCCGGGGACGCGACGGTGTTGACCTTGCTGGCGTCGGCTTGTGGTTGGGATCGTTCAATCACTCGGTCTGCCAGATTATCTAGCTCGGTGAGCTACACGGAGCTCACAATGGCAAAAAGCGCTGCGTGTTTTCTGGTAGCCACTGTGACCACAGTTCACGAAGCAGAGTCTCGTCCATGGTCGATAGATCAAGTTGCGGCATCTCTCGGAGCATGGTTGAGGACAGTTTGTTGTCCAGCTGCAAATCCCTGAAAAACTGCTGCAGGTTGACTATTTCAGAGGGCATGACGCGCTTAATCGGGGCCTCCCTGAGGGTCTCGTAGTGAAATTTTATCTTAGCAATTATAACATCTCGAATCTGCATTGATAGAAGATAGGACATGAGCTTGCTATACTTTGCGTGATGTGAAGTAATTATGTGGTTATACAACTCTGCCTCAAGGGGAGCGAAATTCAGAAGATGATCAGTGACTCAAAAAGGTGGGTCAGAGAGGTACAACACTAATGAGAGGTAGCACTTTATGGTCTACAGAATCCGACATAAAAGAGGCACAAAATGCTGTCGTCTACAAAGAGAACCCGGAAAATATGAAAAATAACGGCGGCAGGCTCAATGGTGAAAAGTTGCAATGTCGGGCGTTGGGGTTCTTTACAATTCGGGATCACCAATTTAACGGAAGCCCGGATAGTCATTCCAAAAGACAGATCGAGTTGTAGGGAGACTTTTATATGTACAGAAAAAGTTTCCTGTTCGTCTAGCTACAAAGAGACGACACCGTTGAACTCTACTGGCTAAGTTAGTGAAAAGTGCACAGCACAGTGCTCGATCACACGTTACGATCGAATCAAGCGCCAATCAAAGCAATGTACGACTCGAGCAATTGAACTCAACAAGCAGTTCAAGCATTAAGAACGGTCGCTCAACTGTACAATGAAATACTAATCTTGGTTCAAATTTCACACACGCAAACCGGGGGAATCTCCAGACTGCTACACTCTACATCGTTGCTGACAGACCCACACATCCAAGAATATATATATATATATATATATATATATATATATATATATATATATATATATATATATATATATATATATATATATATATATATATATATAGTGCCCTATGCTGAGGCTGATGTTGCATTCATGAGGCTTCTACACCGCAGATGGGCTAAACAAACTTACACTTTAACTAGGTCTGTTTAAGCTGGATACATTTCCTTCCACTTTATTTGGTTTGTTCTGCCTACCTGGCTAATCTTCTATTAATTGGCCACGTTGCTTACGCTAATTGTGGTTATCTTCGTTAACTTTATTGCGTTTGTAGCATTTTTGAGTAACTTCTGGACATTTTTTCCTTATCGCGGATTCGTTGCTAACCAACTTACTTCATATGCTAATTTAGGGTAGAGTTATGTCTGCATAGGCGTATTCTTTAACAGATATATTTTATTTGATAATGTCATTTCAAGTGATTGGCTGTTGTTTGACATTCCCGGTGTGGCTGCGCTTGATGTGCATGTTGACAAGGTGCCTACCTGTCTATTACCCACTACCTCATCCACACTAGCTCCAAGAGATAGTTGGCCGTTGCTGGATGGGACGGGGTGCACGTTCCTTGTGGCCGTGCTAGGCTAGAAGAGCGGTTTCATGCACTCAGTATGGAACGGATTACGGTCCACCCACCGCCTTGTGTGGGATTGATTCCCCAAATATAGTGTGCTTGTGTTTGCCTGTGAAGGAGTGTGGGCCGGCTCGCTTGATGAAACGTGGCTCCCATCTACATGCCTCCCGGTCTTATTCCTTCGGGTTTACGCTGGCTATGGGGTGTGTGGATAGAGCTGTGGGTGGTGCAGCGCAAGCCACCCATGGTCCCTCTGTAGGCGCAAGCGTCCTGTGGCTGGCCACAGTGAGAGGCAAATCCGAAATCAGATGCCGTCAACCATATATATATATATATATATATATATATATAATAATTGCATGTCTTTCCCGATACACCACTGAGCTCCGTAAAAAAATTAAGAACTTTCTGGAGTGTTTTGCATACCCATTGTATGTATGATTTGCAGCACACAATCCCAATTGAGTAGCAAGAATTACTTTGCTATAACTTTAGGTCAGTTCGCTCGCTTAAAATACATCCCAAGCAATTACGCGGTAGCTATAACCGCGATTCTTAGTGTAGTTGTAAAGTTGACTATCTGCTACCCAGATTCAATTCCCATTAGGTGAAACGACGATTAAGCCTACCACAGAGTGCCATGTTGAGAATTATTGACACCTAACACTTATACGCACCGTTTCTTTTGTCATGGGTGTACTCTCAATTGGTCACCAAAATGTAGGTAGGTCGCTTCATCAGCGCTTCTCATGTTATCTTATCTCGGTTGTGATTAGTTTTCACTCCCCACTAGTTGTCATTCTGTAGTTTAACGAAATGGTATCTGCAATACTAGCACATTGTATTGCTCCACACAACTCAGTATATGTAAAGTCTTTCAGTTCCGTTCAAATTGTTCAGGTAGGAACACTGTGGCTCAACGGTATTAGTCCATGTGATCTCCCCTTCAGTAACTGACCATTTTCGGAAATTTTAAGCTGGTGAGCATAACGGAGTCAGGGCTAATTGTTTCTCTTCTTCTGACATGCTGCTGGTGATAGCGAGAGGTCGAGTCCGAAACCCCGCTGCTTTTGTTTGCAAATAGATCACCCGATAAAGCACCTCCACCTTTTTCCTATGTCCGTTGCAGTGTTGGCCTAGTTAGGGTAAGCATTTCCAGGTAGAACTCCCGTATGATTAAGTGACGTCACAGAGAAGCGTGATGATTCTGAGACGAAGAATGGATTATTTGATGTCTTTCATGTGCCCGTGTGATCAGAAACATCAAAGCGATTTATGTTCCTTCATTCCAGTTACCCTTGTTTTAGTGGTTCAGGCGTTCGGCTTGCAACCACTGTGTCCCGGGTTCTGGCTCCGCTCTTGCATGAATTTGTGTGTCACTGTAGTACCCAAGCCCGCATACGGCTGCTTACGATTGGGCGGCAGCGAGACATCAGTACAGGGTACTGGTGTTGCACACTGACTAATTTTTGTTTGATTCGTCGTCGTTGTTACAATACGGTGTCCCACCCAGTCTTATGTTAAAAGTAGATAGTTCTACATCTGATTGTATAGTGGCTTCATCATCCCGTGGTCTTTAGGATAATGGACACATTTCTCTACTGAACCTACTCTGCATTTTTCGGCTGCTTTTATCGCAAGCAGCTGTCTAAGCAATATTGCCCTCTGTTTTTCATTGTTCGTTTACAGACTTAGAATCTCACCAGACCCTAGATTCTAGAACCGCTTGCTCTAGTGCAACTATCGTCCATTACGCGCTTTCAGAACTCACCGAGAAATTTCGACCATTTCCAAAGGTTGTGCAAGCTAACACGTCGCTTCTTATTTCATTCTGATAGGCAAATCGGATCGAGTTTCGAGCCCACAGACCCGAGTGTGCCACTCTGCAATTTTCAATGACTCCCAAGGTCTTGCCGAACAAATACTGTCTCACTTGGGTTCTTCATCTCTTGAGTCGCCAAAAGTACGTTGCCAATATACTTCCACTTCGTTTGATGTCTTTTCGCTCACTTACGTCTATTAAAGTCTGTATCACCAATGTTAATTTTGTGGTTATTCCCACTTCACCATCTTTACCACTAACTTTTTCTTGATATTGCACAGCTTTCACACTACTGTGCAACCAAACTGAATGAGCTAATTTTTTGCTATTACTCATTTAGCACCCATTGGCTCTTTAATCAAGGTCAATCGGGCCACGGAATGTCACACTCTCGTTCCCTGCAACCCAGCTGAAAGCTGCATAATTGACACATACGAGGTCAATTTCCTCATATTATATGGCATATATGTCCTTCTCTTTCTTACGGTAGCGAAGTATTTGTGCATATTGAACCCGTTAGCACACTTGCGAACCAAATTTCGTTGTTGTCTATCAACACATGTCGTTGTTCATTTGCCTTCTGTGGTCACATTGTGCAAATGTACGTGTTGTAACTGATATCTATTTTCGGCGTACCCAGCTTAAGCGTTACACTTTACGTGTTTGTTGCCAATTTGTAATTTATTCAGTTTTACCATTGTATTCGTGTTTGCTTATCATTAGGCCCAGTTATGGAGCTGAAAAACATCAACCACTTTTGAAGCGCACTGAAAAAATTACTAACGACACCACGCCCACGCGACCCTTTTTAGTTTTATCTCCAACAACTTCTAACACCATTCGCTCAGATTCCTTAGAATCATTCCGCAAATGCCTGGATCAACTCATTGAAGCAGCTTTCTTCACTAAACGTTCATACTCCTAAATTCATCCGTAAACGTACTCAACTGTTTCTGTTCAAAGCTGGCCTTCCGTTCAAACGATATTACGTTGTACCAGGGTAGCTAGTCCATTGGTATTCGCGGTGTGACGCTCTGATACAAAGTCCTTGATTGCTTTTTGCTGTTCCTCATCTTAATTTCGTGAGTACTGCACGAATACTTCCTTAGAAATGCTGTGTATCGTCGCATTGTTGATGAAAAACTTTGTCAAGCTTTTCTTTAATGGTTTTTCTTCCACGGATGTTACAGCTGATTTCAGTTGTACTTTCGTGGTGCTTGCTGCGCATTCATATGTAACTGTAAGCTAGCGAAGATTCTTCCTGATTTCCTTTTAGAATCCGAATACTGTTGCGTCTGACCATGTATCGAAGTTTGTGCGTAGTCGTGGTTTTACCATTGTATCCAGTTTCTGTTTCGTAATTCCAGCACATTATCCGTAACTCGGTGCATTATTATACCGATGCCTTGTAGCAATTGCATTTCATCTGTTCCTTGTAGGGTTCGCACGAGGTGGCACATCGCCTAAGTTTGTCGCTGTCATATCGACCACCGGTTTTTCACCGTCGAACCTCTACGGATCACCGCTGCCGCCGTCGACGCACAGCACAGTTGTATTCTACGTCCGGTTCTGATGTCTTGACTCCGCCAACGGGACCAGCGGATGCTTTATCGGTAGATTCACTTACGCCCTCTTCTTGGACATCCGGTCGCGTGAGCCAGTTAGCCGGTCGTGTAAAGTCACTATTGATCCAGGTAATATTTTCACCAATTTTCAAACTTTTTCTGAACAGTGTCGTATCCGCGTACCACCTCGACACAATCGTCATTGTTCTTCTTCACAGGTTCCGGACCCAAGTGCTTCTTTCAACGCAATCCAAAATTCGAACCTGAAAGCACTTTCCGGGCTGGATAGCGTTCTGAAAAAGGATGCAACTTTCGACTATAATACAGGTTGTTTTCCTGATAATATCACACACTCGCATTCTTCTAAGCGCTCTCCGTGGTATCGTCATTGTCGACCGGGCGCTCCTGAGCCCCCTGTCACCCCAACTTGCCGCCAATGTGTCGGTGCCCTGAAGAATGCCTCCATCGAACCTGCTGATTCTACAGACCTAATCAAACACACGTATCCTAACGATTCTCACCGAGCAAACGCAACCGGCAAACTGGATTTATCCGCCTTGGAAATGGACTCGGATCAAGAAAACCGTTACTGGTCTCCCGAATTCTTCTTGCCATCTCCTCCACCCCTTGGTGACGCCCTGGTGGGGTTTGGAGACCGGCCATTTCCATCTCCGCCTCTGATAGCAGATTATTCTGAACCTAGTGCACGACAACCTCCTACGATCAAGCTTAATCTGGTTCCTCTGGCACCCATTAGTAACCTCTCACAGAGGTCATTAGCCTTTGAAAGTAAGTTTCAAACTATTAGATGGTTGTTAGAGAGCCACGTAAGAAGGTGCCTTCTTGCCAAACTGCTAGATGAACATTTTTGATCATATCCTACCAATTAAGCGCGTCAGTATGGCTAAAGCTGCATTTTGTCCCGTCATGGTTGTATCAAGTATTACCCGCATCTTGCTACTCCCATCCTATAAAAACTTCGTATCAACGCATAAATATTAATCATGATGGACACTATCAGATGTCTACGCTTTCTCTTACTAACCGCCAACCAAACGTAGTTTCTGCCTTCGTATTTCAGCGGAGGAGAATGCGTACCAAAAAAACTGTTTGTTGGCTATTCATTCACTTCTCATCCTTTGAAGTATAAGGTGCTTGCCTTTGTAATTTTGCTTTTAAAGTTAGGCTCCTCCATTTCTTTGACGAAACCGAGGTAACCGCGTTCAGTCGGGCCCAAGCCGCACCAGCCTGAATGTTCGCTTCCTACATTTTTATTGCTATCATGGGATTGGCATGATGCCAAACTCAGTGGCTGCTGAAGCTTACTTGCGGTTACATGTGTCATAGGATTAGGGACAGACTGTCTGGAAAGTGTCGCTTTGTCTGCCGTCACGACACGCGCTCTCGCATGTCCACATCGAAAAGGTCAGCCCCTTGCCCGCTTAGGGTCACTTGGCTTGTTCACACGTTTGTTTCTGCCGCTTGTCTCGTCATAGTGACTTCCGTAGAAACTCAGCCTTAGTCCCACAGATCGAGGCCGTGCTCCTCTGGTTCCGATTTTAATCCCTCGCCAGCAACCGCGCGTTGACAGAAATCGGCAAGGTTCAATGGGATTTAAGCTGGGATCATTTTGTTCGACATGAGATAATCGGAATTTGGTTACTCTCTCGAATGAGGCACGCTACTCTAAACCGAGCACAGTAGTTTAACGAATAGCAGGACACAGGATAGAATAGAGCAGAAGGGGTGCAGTCCGTTGCCATGGTTGGGTGTCATCTGGGTTAACTTTTTCTTATCTGGATACTACGCAGGCGGTCTCTGTCTCTAATTCAGAGTTCCGTTAAGCTTCATTCTAAATATCTTTACGTTGCTCGTCTCATCCATACCTGCGTTCTACCCACCTTGTCCGAAATGTGTGTGTGTATGTGCGTGCGCGTGCGCGCTTCTTCCTCTCCCAACTGTTTTGACCTCTTATTCTGGACAGATGCGAGGTTGGATTCATCTTCTCAAACATGCCCTCATTCCCAACCTGAACGTGACAGACGTGCGTACCTGGTTGACTAGCACCCCGTCGGCGTAGCGGTGGCGTGCTTCCGCGCGCAAGCCGCCAGATCGGCCTTGACCACTTCACTCGTTGTGTGTTGGTCCAACAATCCTTGTGCCTGTGTGCGTACACACTGGACGCAATATCTATACCCCATCTCACTGCTGCACCCTTCGCCAAGGCCTGCTCTGGAGCAGCCCCACATGTGCGCGCTTGTATTCTCTGTTTAGGCCAGACATCATTGTGACTCGCGCGCGTCTATCGTCCGTGCGATGTGCTTGCCGTTGTCTGCTTTCGCCAGGGAATGGTGGTCGGCTCACAATTGCTGATGCGTCTGTGCATTTATGTCCATAACAAAGAAGAGGCATTTGGAGGGAGGCATATTATGTGATTGTGTCCTTCACGCTCCTATTATTCCCTACTGAAGAAACGATTCGTTAAGATGGACACATTCCTCCACTCTGCGGCTCTGTAAGTACAAAGGTTGATCGTTTCCTCATCACTCGCTCAAAAATAACGCTTACCCGAGCTTTTCTTTGTATACAAGCGCAACCGTTAACAACCCAGAACGAAATAACGAAATTTCCAAGGGTACCCCATATCCCAGCTTTCAAGCTAGACTCAGCCGTTTTAAGGGAGATATGGTTCATTAACCATTGTGGAAGCAGACTGGAGCTCGCAATTTCAACGAAAATTTCCTTCACCATGTGTCTGTGCGCTACTTCCAATTATTGTTACCTTCACTAACTTCCTCCTATTTGTTTACTCCAGATGGAGCTCTCCCGCATCTGCCGTCCCTTAACCTTGAGGATCACATGCCTACCTTGTAATCCGAGGTCGCAGGTTCGAGTCTGTGTAGGGGACCGGGCGACCCTCGCATTATCCTTACTCCTTGCGCGACTGTCGCTGTTTGCGCGGCAGCGAAGCGTCGGTACGGCGTACGGCTGTTCCCTTCCTACCTCTCGTGTCTCTGTATGCTGAGCATTAAAATAACATGCGTGCCCAAACTTGAACGACAGATTTTCATAGTATGCTACGGTGAATAGCTACCACTGACGTATCGTGAGCTGTTGCCTCCGTTGATAGTGCAACCGTGGTGCTTTTTTAGATTCTGGGTAAAGTTAGTGACGATGAACAGGGATGTATTATCCGCTTAAGTCTATATATCGATCCACCGAAATGTGTCCGTCCGCAGCTTCAGACGCTGAACATCCTCATGGTACACTACGAGTCCGCTCAACCAGCGAAGAGTTCCAACACCTCCGAGCTGTGGGTTCATTTTCCCACTCACACTACCTTTCGTTAGACATTGAAGTGGTATGCTTTGGCGACTTCCTCCTTGTCTGCACAGCTGTTGGGGTTGGGCGTGCCCAGTAGTACATCTCGTCGCTAGGCGACTGCGCAAAGGCGGCACCAGGATGCGGCGCGTCTCTAAGCCATAATTTCACAACGCGTCTGTTATTTCGTGGCATACACCTGTGAATGAGTCTGAGCATTCGCTCACATGTCAAGCTACTGCTTGCGCGTCTTCCGCAACTTCGTTTAGTTAATATTTCCTGCATTCACTGACTACACTGAGTGCACAGAAAGCTGATGCTTGCATTTCCCAAATCAAGACGCTCGCTATGCTGCTAACTAGTGTGTATGTCTACGATGATTGTGCCTCATGCTGAGGTTGATGTTGCATATATATCATGCTTCTTCACCGCAGTTGGACTACACCGATTTACACTTAAGCTAGATCTTCCTAATCTGGATACAAAATATTCCACGTTATTTGGTTTCTTCAATTCTGTTATTCTGCTGCATATTCTATGTTAAATTTGTGTGTTTGCTCGAAATTCTATGTTCGTTGTTTTATCTCCTCAGTGTGGCTGCGCTTGGTGTGAATGTTGACAAGGTGCCTGCCTGTTTAACACCCTCAACCTGGATTACTAGTTCCAGGAGACTGTGAATCTTCGCTGAAGAGACAGAGTACACAGTCTTCGCGGCCTTGATGGGCTCAAAGGATAGTTTCTTGCATCCAGTGTGGAGCTGACTATGGCCCAGCCACTGCCTCGGGTACGTCTGGTACAGCTGATTCCGCACATGGATAGACAGGAATGCTGTTGCTGTGCATGTTGAAGAAATGTGGGCCTGCTTCGTTGATGAAACTTGACTCCCATACACATGCTTCCCGGTCTTATTCCTTCGGGTCTACACTGAATATGGGATGTGTGGATGAAGCTGTGGGTGGTGCAGCGCAACCCGTCCATAGTCCCTCTGTAGGCGCATGCGTCCTGTGACTGTCTCTACGGAGACAACAGTGACAAGCAACTCCGGAACCGGATGCCGCCAGCCATGTCTACGATGACATGGGTGGCCCCGGGTTGAGAGTGTGATACAGGGAACACGTCATCTCATCGGTCAAAACCAACCATTGTCACCTAATTGGCTTACTTCGTACGTAATGTTAGCAACATGTAACGTGTGATATCGTGCGTTGAGAGCGCGTTCTTCTCACTGCCATTTCGTCTCACTGGGGTGGTGGTTTGCCAAATGTTTAGGCTTTAGCATCTGTTGGTGTTGTTGCGGCACAAGGCCACTTTGTTGCTGTTGTTACTTTTCTTCTAGTCTTCAGACCGTTCAACGCGTATAACGTTGTCCTATGCCAAGGTGGGCACGTGCTAGTCAGTGCATTACGTATATATGGGTGTCCTCGACTATGCAAAGTACCCCAGAAAGCAACACGAATCTGATCGGTAACGGCGGAGACCACATTCTAGTTGTAGGAAGAGTGTTTGCTAATGTTCTCTCACAGCTGCTATTTGATAGTGACCATTTTTAGTCTCACATGGGCTGTGACACGGCATACTCTTGCTGTCCTTTGTCGCTCTGTTGCTCACATGCGGGGTGTTTGTCATAAAGTTACCACAACACACGTAGGCGCTGCCATCTGTTTCACCGTATTAGATGCCATTCAGCTGCCCGTCTATATAATCGAGAGCTACGCCCCACTCGTATTTACCACTTTGTAATCCATTTGTGTGGCATCCCGTAGCGTGGCCTAAATTAATTTGTATATCCTCAACTAGGTGGGACACCGCCCAGGTAAGCTGGTTCGATCAAGTCAATTTAAGTCAAAATACGCTTTCTGAACCCTAATGGGTTTATGTTCAGTAGTTGCACCACCATTGAGGATACCTGTGTGATAATATCAATATACATGTTTGAGTAGAAAAGTGGGAAAAAAGATGAACTGGTACTCCAACAAGCACTCGCGCAGCCTGTTTGTGACTGTCGCTGGGTCAACAAGCAGACGTGAGAGATAAGACAGAACAACATTACGATACAATGATGTGCGGGAGAATAAAATTCTGAATTTCGAACGGGTAGAAGAGAAAGAGCGCGTTTTGGAAAGAGCATTGTGAAATGGATGCAATCGACCAGCTGGTACCTTAGAAACGTAGAATGGTTTTTAAAAAATTGCTGTAGAATTGCTGCACTTGTGGTCCCATTTTTCATTGATTCTCACGCTCTTGATTTCGTTTCAAAATTCGTCGGAATCCACAACAATTGCAAAACTCAGATACGTTTAGGCGGATGGTTGGGAAAAGAAGGCTAAATAACAAAGTTTTAGAAGGTGTGACAATATGTACATAACATTGGTAGATAACAATAATTTATAACTAGTGAAAGTGTGTAAGCAGACACGATAACATGACAGACGGTAAAACTGAGAACTGCATCCATTTTCTGAGTGTAC